TGTGTGTGTGTGTGTGTGTGTGTGTTTATGTATGTATGTTTGTAAATGCTTAAATTTGAGCAGCGTAATGTGGTAAGAGAGAGAGAGAGAGAGAGAGAGAGAGAGAGAGAGAGAGAGGTATGTACTGAGGCATCGCGTTAAGGAATGTAGATCACAATGTGGTTGTTGAAGAATGTTCAGGTGTAGAATGTGACTGAGAATGTGGACCACCTAGTGGGGTAGACTAACAGGTAGCCTAGGTAGCCGTAGTCAACAGGTAGCCGTAGTCAACAGGTAGCCTAGGACACAGGTAGCCGTAGTCAACAGGTAGCCTAGGACACAGGTAGCTGCAGTCAACAGGTAGCCTAGGACACAGGTAGCCGTAGTCAACAGGTAGCCTAGGACACAGGTAGCCTAGGACACAGGTAGCCTACGCCAAAAGGCAGCTCTATACACCTGAGAGGAAAAAGGGAAACGTTGGAGCAGTTAGCTATCCTCTTTAACGTAACTTGAGAAGCAACTTGAGTAATGACGAAAGCTAAGGTGATCCAGCGTTTCCTTTTTCCTGTTAGCTACACCTGGTTAATTATATATATATATATACCTGGCTGTTATATATGACTGCTTGAGCTATACCGTATATATATACACACACCTGGCCGCTACACTTACCTGGCCAGGCGTTAAGGTGCAGTCGGTGTGTGTCCTGCATAAGGGGGGGGGCCAATTTTTATCTGGGGGTGATTATAACTAAGCACCAGAACAATGGAGCTTAATGTTCAGGGGGGATGCAGAGAGAGAGAGAGAGAGAGAGAGGGGGGGGAAATCATCATGTAAACAACTCTTAATAGTGTACAGTAGTTACGAGCAAAGATGGTGGCAAGACAGTGTCAACCAACGCTGGTGGGGTAGGGGGTAAGGGAGGGGGGAGGGAGGGGGAGGCTAGGTGCTAAAACTCAAAGAGCATTCAACACACGCCCCCCCACACACCTTCAAGGCAGAAGGGTACAGTACTGTGGGGGGAGGTTATGGGGGGTGAGGGGTGGAGGGGGTGAGGGGTGTGGAGGGGGTGAGGGGTGGAGGGGGTAGAGAAGTGGAGAGAATAGGGGAGATAAGAGGCAGGTACCCCCTACCCCCCTCACCCCCAGTGTGGTATTTGATTGACATTAATCCTGTTGTATTAATTCGTCGTGTCTCAACCGCATACCAGAGTACGCCCTGCCCTGCAACGCCCTGCCTCCCCGCCTGCCCTGCCCCGTTTTCTTTCCCCAATCTACTCCCACAACTTCCCCAAACTCCCTCCACCTCCCATACCCCATTCTTTCACTCTCCTCCCCACACACACACACACACACACACACACACACACACACACACACACACACACACACACACACCCCCACACACACCCCCCAACAAAACAACAACAACCAACTCGTCAGTAATAACTCCTTAGGGAGTTTATTTCGTTTCAACAGTGAGTCACCCCATTAACGATTAGACTAGCAAAATGGCTAACCTAACCTAACCAAACCTAACCTAACCTAACCCTCTAACCTCCCTACGCTATTATTATTACTTTTATCATTGTTGTTGTCGTTGTTGCGGTATTTACGGTCAAAAATTCTCATTTCCTTCATCTAATACATCAGAAGATTTGGTAAAGTAATATGAATTTCCCTCCATAAGACATAACCTTAAGACCCTCTACCAAAAAAAAATAACGACCCAATATGACGGCAAAATTACACTGAGACTACACCTAAACCTAATCTAATCACTTTGGTATTAATATTACAGAACATTGTAGGGGAATAAGTGAGGGTACCCAAGCCTGATATAACGAGGGTTGCAGGTCACGTAAAGGAGGTTATAAATATGAGAAGAATTATGGCGTCGAGAGAACGGTTAGAGCGGTGGTTGGGGGGAACTTCGAGATATTCAAATTGTGGCTGAAACATAATAGGAATTGATTATTAATTTGTTACACACACACACCCACACATCCCCACTCTATAACCCCACAAACCCACACAACACCATCCACCACACAACCCCACACAACACCACCACCACACAACACCACCCACCCCACACCACCCACCACACACACCACCCACCACACAACACCACCCACCCCACAACACCACCCACCACACAACACCACCCACCACACAACACCATCCACCCCCACAACACCACCCACCACACAACACCACCCACCACACAACACCACTCACCCCACAACCCCCTCCCACAGACTACACCACAATGTACAGTACCCACAGGTAGGTTCCAGTGGCCCCCTCGACCTCGTAAACAACACAGATAATTAATGGCAGTAATCTACATGTGTCATCTAGGAGCTCAACAAGCCTACGAGTGTTGACCTATAATTAATACATCATGACCCCCAACAGAGCCTGTCTGTGTAAGGCAACATGATCATAAACAATAATACTTATAACAACAGCAATAAATAATAATATTAATAATAATAATAACAACAACCAATAATAATAATAACAATAATAATAATAATAACAACAATAATATTCATAACAACGATAACAACAACCAAATAATAATAATAATAATAATAATAATGATAATAATGATTAATAATAATATTACTATAATAATAATAATAATAATAATATTAATAATAATAATAATAATAATAATAATAATAATAATAATAATACTTATAACGATAATAAATAATAATAATGATAATAATTAATAATAAGGATAATAATAATAATAATAATAATAACAATATTCATTACATCAACAATAAATAATAATAATAATAATAATAATAATAATAATAATAATAATAATAATAAAAGGAATACTAATATAATTATAAATGTTCACTTTTTATTTGGTTAACAGAGAAAAGAGAGAAACGTTCTGATATATCCCACAGCAGGTCGATGATAACTACATAGCACGTCAGGGTTACCAACTGTTTCACGACGATTTACAATTTACCCAACTGAGACCTTTCGTGGAAGAGCTGTAGCGATACTTGTTGTTGTGGTTGGCTGGGTGAAGCGCCTCAGCACCCCCCACCCGGCATACGCAACAGGGGGGCATAAGACACACCTCACAATAAATAACAACTTACGTCAATTTTCTTATAGCTTTTTTTTTTTTACTTTTTTTTAATTGACAAAGAGATCCTTTTTATAATCGTGCAGGGTCTCCCCCCCCTCCACACACTGCCCCAGGCTGCTGAAATTACACTGTTGGTGAAATTACTGCCCAGTATGGTGTTCCCTCATACTACAACACCACCAACAAGTGTACAAGTATTGGTTATTTGTAGGTAACAATAAACCTTAAAATGGGTCAGGTTTGTTTTATGTGAGGTGAACTTACGTTAAATTAGGGAGTAAACTGAGGTAAGTCAGGCCCGATGGTTAGTGAGTGGTGGTGGCGGTTGTGTTAGCAACAGCCTCTACACTATCATCTTAACCTACAGTCGACCATCATCCTCAACTATCAACACCAAGTATTACTACTGGACTATATCATCCCCGGTCATCAACCACCACGTACTGTAACTTCCAACCCAAAAACTGTACTGAATTAAGCACCTCGCCGCCACCACCTAGTAACACACACACCCACCAACAACAACTGAACACCATCACTGTTGACTATACCCTAACCACTTCCTTGGCTCCACCCCCACCCCTCCCCCTCCCCCCACCCCACCCCCACCCCACCCCCTAACAAACAATGAGCCCACAAGACGCGAGCCTCACTTTCTAATAATGCTGGTGTGAAATACGACGAGGTAGTGGGCACAGAACAATGGTCAGATTGGACCATCAACCACCATCCCGCCTTACCCCGTCTATGGGATCATGACAACCTGGCAACTCCCTGACACTCCCTCCTGAGTTACTGCTCGCGTGTCCTACCCTAAGTGGCCCTTCAGGACCAGTTAATCCTTGAATACCATCCTGAAGGACTTACTGCTTCATTGTCCCTTCACAAGTAGCTCTGGCAAAACGAGTTATTTCTTGAATACCCACCACCGTGTAGGAGCTACTGCTTGAAACTTCCCTCCACAAAAGACTTCTTGGGACGGGTTCGTGCTCCGACGCCACTTCAGAGGATCAGCTGCTTAAATCGTTCAGTAAACAAAACAAGAATGTGAGTTGCAACTTGGATACCACCGATGAGGAGGCTGTACATGTAGTGAAGCTCCGCAAGTGTTTCCTGAAGAGGTGGTTGGCTCTCGAACACCAAAAGCAGAGGAGGTATTACCGAGGGTACGAGTAACACCGTTAACGCCACCAAGGAGTAGTAGCTGATAGGTCTCAGTACGAGGTCCACCTCCAGTGCCCCCCTGGCGCCCGAGATGTAGGGTCGGCTGTGAACGTCATTAAGCAACACCTTAAGATTCAACTGATAACTTGACCGTGGGAGTGAGGGGGGTGAAGGGGTATAGTGAGCCCTGCTGAGGCTTTTTAGAGCCTTGGGTGACGGGTGGAGTCTTAGTGAAGCCTTAGTGAGGCCTCATGGAGGTCAGTGGCCAGAGAAGAAGTCTTGGTGGGATCTGGGGGACTTAATAGAGCTTTACGGTTGAGTCTTATTAGAGCCTTGAGAAGACCTTGGTAGGGCTCCATGGATCTACCTAATACCCCCTCCCAGCCAGGTGATAGAACCCACCTTTACCCCAGGTCTACCACCTCTTCCTGGCTAAAGTCTCCCCTTCCTCGTAATACACCACTTCTTGCTTAACTCACACAGGACAAACTAACCCTTAACTAATCCTCAAAAACCATCCTTAATTCACTAAGACCCAGCAAAAGAAACTTCCATAAGACCCAGCAGGAAGAAGCCCTTAGGAAGACTCACAAGGAAGAAGAGAAAGAGACATCCATGAGGACTCAATATACAGCCTACTACAGGAGGTCCCATCAGTAGAAATTCCATCAACATCCCGGAAGGAAGAACACACACACACACACACACAAAACAGCGTCAAATGCTCACCTTGG